TCCAGATCCATTGTGGTGGTGTATAGAGCCAAAGATGTTAGAATTGTGTCGATGTCCCAATATTTCTGGACCTGACTGTATATGCCTTTGAGTCAGTGTTGACTCCTGGACAAGTCTCTGCAGTTATCTTGGCAAGATTTTCAGAAGTGGCTTGCCATTGCCTGCTTTCTAGGGCTCAGAGAGAGTGACTGGCCCAAAGTCACCCAGCTGGCTGTGTGCTTAAGACAGGACTAGAACTCTTGGTCTCCCAGTTTCTAGCCTGGTGCCTTAACAATTACACCAAACCAGCTCTCAAATTTGAATATATATTCTAGTTTAATTTAATTAATTAAATGCAGTAAATATTATTTTGGTGTATTTCATCATGTTTTCCTGATGTCACATTAAATATTATAGTTCAGCAGCAGGGAGGCTGTATCCATAAAGTGTATGGTCATGCGTAGCCCTGGGGCCACAGATTGCGTATATATTTGACAAAATAATATAGAGAAGCCATACAGAATGCCCAGCATTGGTACCTTGTTTTCCTCCCTCAGTTCTAAAGAGGATGAAGGGTTGTAAAGAGGATGAAGATGTAGCATCCTTCTTAGCTGCAGAGTTATAGCTGTCATTCAATAACTTTAAAGAAGTTACTTAAAAGTGTTCCTATTCAGACTTGCTTCCCTATTCCTGTGAGGATGGGTGAGAATATTGTATTTCCCTTTTTTGGGATCATGCTTAAGTCCTGAAAAGTAATATTTTAGCCTTGGGGTCAGATGGTATTTATAAAATAATTGGACATTTGTTCAGTATTGCAAATCTGCAAATAAAATCCTGAATGCTGTTCTTTTAATCATTAGATGCGTGGCAGGTGTTCTTGGAAGATGGCATTCCTCAAAACATAACAGATGATTTGAGAGCCATGGGTCATAATGTCATGGAACCTGTACTTGGCTATGCCAGGAGCATGTTTGGACGTGGTCAAATTATCACCAAAGGAGAATGGTGGAGAGAAAAAGCCCTCTCTTCTTCTTACAATGTACTCTGGGCTGGATCTGATCCTCGAGCTGATGGTTGTGCATTGGGATACTAGTGTGGAAGGAAAAAATGGCTAGGTTAAATGGATAAAATTAAATTCCGAAGTGTCACAACGTGATGATATATTAGAAGACGGAGCAGGGGAGGTCAACATCTGTTTGATCTAGTACCATAATTTGATGATAACAGTCCATGCTTTGCAGGGAGAAATCCCAGGTTCAGTCATTTCATTTATTTGCCTGTGACTTAGGAAAGTGAGACCCATCTGCCACTCAGATAAGAGAACACTGGTTAGACAATACACTTGGCTGCTTTTTTCTTGTAATGCTTAATCATGGCGTATTATACAAGCCAGATATTAGGAGAAGAGAAAAGTAATCCTGATTTGTTTGACCAATTCTTGGTTTGTTTCCTCCATGTTTTTTCTGCCAATACTGAGAGAAGTAAGTGCAACACAAAACAAAACCAGAAGTAAGTCAGGGTTCCAAGTTTAAAAGACCTGTCTTAAAATCAAGACCTGTAGATCGGTAAATCACGTTATCCTATTATTTGTTGCAAAAATCATTTATTTTTTATTTTTTGAGATGTGTTACTTATGCATCATTTTAAAAACAAGATTTAGTGTTTTGTATAAGCTGAGTAACTGGAAGGTATGTGATTACATCCTTACGAACTTTTTTTAGTCACAATAATATAAAATATTTTTGTTGACACTTGTTTGTTCTTTATAACAAACATTAAAGATTTAAACAACTGAGGAGCACAGGTCATTTCTTTCTTAGCCTTTTCAGAAATCATTTGTACAATGCATGTTATTTGTATGTCTTATCAACTACTGTTATTGCATTTTGAGACGATGTTGGTATTTGGATTTTTATGCAACACTTCTTTATAAAGTAAATATAAATGATCTAATCAGCAAAAAGAGATATCCACAAAAAGGATTTGTTTCTCAGAATAATATTTCTGAATTCACTTTAATGAATGTTCTAGTATGACATGTCATGTAAGAAAGACACAAACAATTAAAAAATGAACAGATAGCAAGCAGTCTTAAATTTTGCGTTTTGCTTAGTGTTCAGGAATGCTATGTATCTGCAGGAATATGGTTTTTTAATATATTTTAATATGTTTTAATATGCATTTTTAATATTTTTTTCTTTAGCTCTTTTGTGATAAAGAGAATTTATTATTGAAAGTGAGAGAAATGCTAAATTCTCATGGGTACGCGTAGATCTCCTCAAATCCCAGTCTCTGCAATGTTTATTACTGCATATAATGTGCATTTCATATTGAATCACATTTATTAGAGTTCTGCTGTTATGCAGGAAGGTTAATTTAAAACATTGGCTTTGATTTTAACTTCCCTTTGGTGAACAGAGCAGAGTTCATAGAACAGGGCTTTCCTGTCACTCTGCTCTGTTGATCTCCTGGAGGATGGGTGATATTTAGAAACAGTGTGTTAAACTACAGAAGGGGAGGGTGGGGCGGGGGACTTGGCAAAAATCCTGTGGTGAATAGAAGCTTTGGACCTATGACATTCATACTTAACTTATTTTAATAATACTGGGCTCATCAATAATGCACTTATTGCAAATACTGAAGCAACAAGATTTAGGCGTTAAATAGGAAAATAAGTTATTATTTTATTTTTATTTTATTTATTAAACCAATTTATATAGCTACCCATCTACCAAAAGGAACTCTGGGGTGGTGAACAAAATCAAAACACAATACATTAAGAATAACAATTTAGAACAATAAACTGGGTTACCGCCTCAATAAAAACTTACATCTATCCGTCAACCACCCCGTGCCAGCTCTGTCAGCATCCTGGCTGCAGTGCCAGGGGAAAAGCCGGGTCTTCACTGCTTTCCTGAAGGCCAACAGGGCTGGGGCCATCTGAATCTCGGGGGGGGAGGCTGTTCCATAAGGCACGCTTCCAAGGCTCCAGCAAACAACACTGCCTCACCAAGGGGACCCAGGACGTGCCCACCCTGCCAGATCTAGTAGGAAGGGCAGAAACCATCAGGGATAGGCAGTCTTGCAAGTAACCTGGCACCATGCTGTGAGGGTTCTTTGTTTTCCAGGGACCAGACACACCACAGCGTAGCAAATCTGTACAAAATGCTTTATTGCAGCACACACCTTCCCCAACAACAGATTACTGCTCTCCACCCATCTAGGACCTGCAAGGTGGTGATGTCATGTAAATATTTATATATATTTTTTAATTTTATATTTTGAATTTAGACACCTCACAAGGAAATGACTCTGGGTGGTTTACAATAAAACAACAAATAAATATTAATTAAAATACAATAAATACAGTATAAAAATACAGTAAAACCAAACATATACATAAATAATATGTCTTTTACACCCAGTCCTTTAATACTTAGTTCAAGCAAAAGTCTATAAAATGTATAAAGTCTGTATAAA